CATGGGGGGGACCTATATGTGTGTATGTTGGTTTGTGTGCATGGACATGCAGGGACCGCTCCTGCCCTCTCAACCAACCCCAGATGTGGCTCCCGGGGCCAAAAAGACGGTGCAGCGAAAGAACGAGAAGTAACACAGGTAGCCATTTAGAGAAATAGCTAAATAACCGGCTTGAAAACTAGGAAGAATTCGGGCCGTTTAAGTGAGGCACAGGGGAAAGAAGGATGCAGGAACTTGGTTTGATCTATGCATCAGACAACATTTAAAAGTCTGGGAAATGGGTCGTGTCCGTTTCAAAGCCCAAGTGCAGCCTGGGTGTTCAAGGAGCTCTCCATGGTGCTGAATCTTCTCCCCAGCAGGTTGGGCACATTGATGGCTCCTTAACGCTTCTGGGTAACGCGCAAAGCAGATGCCTGGCCCTGGCGACCTTGCAGCACCAGTCTTTATGAGTACCACTGAACAACACTGTATTCTGTACCTTGCTAAACGTTTACCCTTTATTTGTTGGCTCTTTTTTAAGTGGACCCATGAGGACTAGAAACTTAAGTGGCAACTTTTAAAAAAAATGCAAGCAGGGATTCTCAGAACTCTTAATAAGATTTCACAGTCTCTGCAAAAGTGCTTAAGGCCACGTGCTGTATGTACATTGACTCTGCTCCTTGCATTTCCGAAAATCACAACATCCAATCTCCCAGGGTTTAAGTTCATACTTCCCCAACATATAAAGCTCAGACGGGTGCTTATGTATAATTCTCCCTTATCAGAACATGAAACGATGCTTGCTAGTCAGGCAGTAAAATGGAAAATCCACCCCAGGTAAACAGCAGGATGCAATACTTAATGGAGTCAAGGGACTGCCCACTAGCTCAGGAAGCTGGAGTGCTTAACTTTTCTGTTGTTAGTTGCGAGTTCTACAGAAATCTTATCTTTCAGGAAAAGTGGCACAGAAAAAGCTTTGTGCATCCTGCCAGAGACCAGTGGTAGCTTATTTTGGCCAGTGACCAGTTCTTGGTGCCAACCCATGTAGAATCCATAAAGGTTTATGTTTCCTAATTGCATTTTGGACTTCAAGGAAATACCTTCCAGACCCATCCATCATGTCTTGCTTCAGGTGGCCTCAAGAGGACTAGAAACCTACAAAGGCTGGCACAGAGATGAAGGTGGAGAGATCATGAGCAAGCAGGCCAGGGCATCCCCTGCCCCTTCTCTGCAGCAGCAGTGTTTGTCCCAGATCAAAAGACAGGGGAACAAGAATTTCTTTTCCCTCGTTCTGCCGTCCTTCACAGGTGAGAGACCAACCATTCTTGCTGGAGGGCTAAACTTGCTGGGGATTTTTCCAATCAGCGCAAGGGTCACATCTTTGCCTAGGCCTGTGGTGCACATGCCTTGAAGCCACCCTATAAATTGCAGACCACCCAGGCTGCAATTTATAGGAAGCTCTGCCTTGCCTCATTGCTCATGGTGGCTCTGTAGCAACAAAAGGAGTGTCCCCCATTTGCTTTGGCAGCTGAGACCTGTTCCCTCCTCTGACCCTGTTTTGAGCAAATACCAGGCCCTCATTACTGGTAAATCCCATCATCCTGTTTTGAAAGACTCCCCAAAGTTGTCTCAACTTCGTGGGAAGATATTCTTTGCCCCTTCCAAGTCCACTCTGTTTGGCTCGGCACGGATTCTAGCATGCACTTGGTGGCTCAGCAGTTCCCTCCCGACTCGCGCTGTTTCTGTTTCTTCCAGTGCCTCCAGCCTTGGATCTGGGAATCCCAACTATCCATTCCCGTTCAGATGCAGCCTGGATGCAACGGGATTGTTCTGCCCCTCGGTCCAGCTGTATGAGTTTCTGGCAGATTAGTCACATTAATCGTATGAGTTTTTAGGCGGTCAGTCACCATTAATGGAGTTTTGTGGGCTGATCTGTCAGACCTGCCACATATTTGCATGCACAGTTCCAAAGCAGGAAAAAAAGCAATGCATTTGTTTTTAAATGAGATATATCAGTTATCTTTGGAAGTGTCCAAACAGATGAGCAGAAGGTAGATTCTGACTCCCCCACACACTTAATCAGGCCAATTTCCATTGAGGACTGGTTGGCTGCTGAAATTTTTGCGAGTGAGGTGATAAATCCAGGTGACTTGATAGGGTGTACAGGGGAGCATTGAAGACAAGCTGATTCATGACTGAACCAAACTGGCAAAACCAAGACAGTAAAAAGCAGTTTTGTCGCCTGCTGGGCAATCTATCAGCTCATATTTAAAATAAAACTTACAGGATCAAAACGGCAACCCGGTGATGAATGCTGAGCGGATGGGGCTGGATGTTGACTTTGGCTTACTTAAGAACAGATGGTGGAGGGGTCAGTTGGAGAAATAAATGCTATTACAGAGCTGCCCTTCCAGTTCGCACTCTAGGTGGGCCGGGCCAAAAGGAAAAGGGGGCGGTTCAATGGCAGGTGGGCAGAGCCAAAACACCAGCATATCGTCCCTTAAAGCTCTTCCTGCCTGGCTATTTAAGTCTTAGGAGAAGCATTTAGACTGTTACAAAAGGGCAGGGAGAGAGGCTACACGAAAGCTGAGAAGCCACCCCAGGACTGGGGGTTGGGGGAAAGGGGTTGGAGCCATTTGGGCAGCTCTGCAGGGCTGGGGTGGACCCCCCGCAGCTGCAGTTCCTCACTCCAGCGTAATAGTCTCTGGAGCCAGCTACAGTCTGAATAACCCTCACGCTGCAGGCGGTGCCACGTGAGGCTCACAAGGAGCAGCTTGCCTACAACCCGCCAGCCAGCGCACATCAAAGGCGACATTTGAAGGGGTGGGAGGGGATTTCCGGCTGGCAGCTCCATCTCTCAGGGCAGTGCCACCTTGTTCAAGCTCTCCCACTTCTGCTTTTGCCCCCGCATGCTAAGATGGTTCAGAATTGCACACAGCTACTTCCCAAGCCCGAAGGGCTGAACCCCAAGGAACTCTCAGGAGACCTGCAAGGAAGAGGACGGAGGTGCACGGGCTTGGAATCCCGCTCAATCTTTCGCCTAGGCTCATGGCAACGTTCGTCCCAATCCCAAACAGCTTGGACCGCAGGAACTTGGCAGCGCTTTTCCCAAGAGCAAACATATACACACATTTACCTCATTATTTATTTGAAAATAGTGCGACGCACCAGCTAAAGAGCGTCCGCTGTCGAGTGGAGGGAAGTGTCCAATTCAAGAACGTGGTTGTAAATTCACTTGGGGGCTTTGGGAAGGCTGCCTGAGACGCATCTCTCTGCCCTGCTGCAGTGGATGACAATTCAGGGCCCACTTTACAGTGTTACCGGAAGGATGACTCCTGAAATTGTGTGTGTGAGACTTATTCTGAGTCAACCTGCCCAAGACTGCACTGAAGGGGCTGTTAATGGTAGGCATGGGTTGTTATTGATCTCTGTACTGCCCAATAGCCAAAGCTCTCTGGGCAGTTTGCAATGGATCAGACACAACCAGAAAGCAACCAAACTGCAATAGCAACAAAAATAAAAAGATATTTCGCATCAATCATGAATTTTTCATCATCCTAAAAGTACAGTGCAGAATTTAAAAGCAAACTGGGTCGCCGTCCACAGGCAACGTCTCCTGGCTGCAGACCTTGCACCGGCTGAATTTGGCAACGGTGAGCATCGGAGGTTGGCAAGGTTCAGCAGTCACTGGGGGCCACCAGCAAAAGCCCCGATTCGGTTTTCTCTTCCTCGTTCTCTTTGGTAGCCGGAAGGTGGAGCTGCAGATGCTCCGGCGGAGCGATAGGGGGATGCGGAGCAGAAGCCGCTGGCCAGGCCCTCCAAAACCCGGATGCGACGCTGGTGCAGTGGGCAACCGTGCTAGGCGTTACGTTCTGCTGAATTCGGCGTGGCTGCCGAGCCAGCCCGTGCCGGATCCGCTTTGGACAGGCCAAAGCGAAGCGTGCTTGCTCAGGAATAAACCGTCCGGGGGATCCTGGCTAGTCACCTGAGCTTGGACCCTGGCCATCTGTGGAATAGGTCCCATCGCACAAAGTCAGCCTGGCCAAAATATGCCAAGGCAAGGGCGACCAACTTCACACTCGCCCACGCTGAGAGCACATCTTTATTCCAGCCTTCCTCCTCCTCCTCCTCCTCCCGCCCAAGGGCGCTGGATTTCAATTCCCATCATCTCCAGCCACCGCAGCTGGCTGGCCACGAACAGAGCGGCAGTCCCAGGCCTCGGGATGGAGGGACGTCGCTTTATGTAGCGCTTCGTACGCAGCTCAGGGAGGGGTGCACAGAAATGACCCCCTCCGGCAAATTCAGCCTGAAAGGAGGCCCATCCTGAATAGAGGATGTATCCGAAGTAAGGCACGCGCCCATCCGCAGCAGGGCTCACTTGCATACCCACGCTAGCGGTTTGCAGGCCTCCTCCTCAAGAGGAATGGTCAGGCGAACTCTGGGCCTCGTGCGCACAGATCCTGAACTTGCTCCCGAGCATTAGGGAATCTGGTCAGCGCCTTACGGCGCGCGCGCGCGCGGAGACCCCCGCTCCGCATCCCAGACCAACAAACAATGAGATCTTGGGCGGCCCAAGGCGCATGGGGGGATCCAAGGCCCTTGACAGGCCTCTCCCCCCCCCCCCCACCCCCGATCCCACTCATTGCAGGGCGCAGTGTATGCATGGAACGAAGGATCCCTTTTCGCTGCGCGGGGCCTCCCAAGTCCTTCCCTCTTGCAGCTGTGGGGTTTCCTCCAAGGTGGGCAAAAAGGAAGGCAAGCCGCGCGCCCCTAACGCAACCCCATGCAATCGCCTGCTCCCTCCTTCCCATTCTCTCTCTCTCTCTCTCTGGGTTTTTTAATTTCTTTTTTTTCGAGAGAGAGGGAGGAAAAAAATGCTGCAACGTACAACGAGGCTACTCGTGAGTGAGTGAGAGCGGCCCGGCCAATCAGGAGGGCCCGTTTCGAAAGTTGCCTTTTATGGCGAGAGCGACGCCGCGGTGTCCATATAAAACCCGGCGTCACCGCGCCGCAGAAAGCAGCCGTTGAGCGCTCTCGGTGGGGTGCGCGTGCCTCGGGTGGATCGCCAAGCCGACTCGGTTCCTCTCCCCCTCCCGGCCCCAAGGGTCTAAACAAAACAAAGCCAAAAAAAGCAAAAGCCTAATTAAAAAACAAGCAAAAAACCGTGCAACTTCTAAAAAAAGGTAAGCCTTTTCGGGCGTGGAACGGGGGTGGGCTTTATTCTCTTTGCTCGGTGGAGTAGGATGCTGAATGTATTTCTAGCGGTATCTTAGTCCGTTGTTAAGGTGCGCTCGTTGTTGGCTTAAAATTGTTCCTGGCTGACTTGAAAAAAAAAAAAAAAACGGCGTGTTTATTGTAAGCCTTGGCAATCAGCTTTTTTTTGGAGTCCGAGGGTTGCTTCGCAACATGGAAATGTTTTTTTTTCCTTTCGCCTTTTAGCAAAGATGGATGCGGTAGGCGCTTCTTTTGCAAGTAACTTAAGGCGAGGATCGTGCTCTGTGCTGGCCCACTTGCCATCGGTGGGCTTCCTTGCGAGTAAGCCTCATGGCATTAGCAAGGGCTTAAGATGCTCAACGCAGCAGACGTGGCTTTTAAGTCCGTCCGCATTTCGCCCGGTGCGCGATAACCGCTTTGGACATAATGTATAGAGTTCACTTTCTGCTCCTTTGCGGTTGGTATTCCTTTGAGTCGGATGAGCGAAGTCCCTGAGACTTGGAGGAGACTTACTTGAGAGGATCGCTCTGGAAGAACAGGGGCAAAAAGGAATAGCGCGCGCGCGCGGGGGGGTGTCTTTTGTGCGCGCATTGTCTAGCTTTGTGTCGGAGGCGCCGAGGAGGGGGCTAAAAGAAGCTTCTCCGGGTGGCGGGGATTAATGCTGCATGTGATGAATGATTTGTCGGGAGGAAGGGGAACCCTTCCCCGCTGGAGGGGCCTAGCTTAAAAAAATAAACAGCAGTGCATCCTTTAAAAGGCACGCTCGAGTGGACCTGGCGCGCTGGAAAACCTTGCAGGTGCGATCTTGGGTATGCTTAGACAGGAGGGGGGGCAGCCCCCAGGGAAAAATACGTACGATTGCGCCCTAAGCCGAGGAGACGGGGAGGAGAGGCCGCGTTCGTGTGCATTTCGGTTGCGTGCACACAATGGGAGCTTGTCCCTGCTGGATTTCCGGGCTCTTTAATCTGGTTTTATGCGTTCGCGGCCCGGCCCTAAGAGGATTTATTGTCCCCTGGGGGGCTGGGTGGCTGAGCGGGCGGGGGGTGGTCCTCCGTGGTGCGGCTGCAGTTCATTAAAGGGAGATGCGGGGCTGGGGGGAAGGGGTCCTTCCAGGTTTGGGGGGGGGGGCGTGCTGCACTGCTTGCGAAGCCGGGGCGTTCAGACCTGCTAGGGTGTGCCTGGGGGGCGTTTCCGGTGATGGGGAACCGGCTTTTCCATTGTACCTACGGAGCACATGGGTGGAGGGTGCTGGTGGGTGGGGCGATTTGGGAGGGGAAGGGAATCAATCATGGGGCAGCCTTTGACTGAGAGGTCCTTTGTTTCCTTGGAGCCGCTCCGGATCCTTTTGTGAGGTGGGGAGGAGGGGTAGCGGAGGCAGGGAAGCAGCGAGGGTCCCCCTTTCGTGGGTGACCGCCTTCCCCAGAGACTCCAGAAGGATGTCACCCCCTAAATTCTACAAAATGCACACTTTGGATTAACTGCTGGGGCTCTCTGGCTTGAGGGGGCTTTCCCCTGCCCCTTTCTGCCTTTCTGCTATGCCTTTGGTGGGGGAAACAGCCTTGTTAGCTGGATGAATATTTCTAGAAAAGGCAAGTGGCTAGTCCTCATTAATAGGCGAGGAAACCAAATCTGGCTGGTCAACAGGTGGTTCTAGGAAGGGTGGGGTCTGACTGGAACCTGGTACTTAGAAATGTGTGTGTGAAGTGCCCTGGAAAGTTATTTTAAAAAAAATCTAGATGGCTGCCTCAGGTCACCCATACTTGGAAGTAACTCTTCCAATGTGGCAAACCTACCTTAGCTGCCTCCGTCCAAACTATATTTCTTTCTCGCATCCTTTTGCTGGTTATCTGCAATCTGGCAACTTCATCTGTTGCATTTGAACCCATGGCAGCTGTACTGACTGCTTTCCCAACTTAAAAAAAGTCAGTGCCCTCTGGGGTAGACAAAAACCTAAGGCAGCCCTTGGGAGCAGAGCCGGGCATCTTGCATTTATAAGCTTTTTAATGCGCCTCCATCCAAACTTGGCTTGCAGGACTAACAAGATTAAGGACCTGGCAGGCTGGTCTGAGCTGGGTGGGGTTCTGGGCAAGCCACTTTTTGAAAGGGCGTGGGTAATTTGCCCTACTTCTGAGCTTTCCCTGACCAGAATGGCCCCATCTTGTCGAGAATGGGTGTTGCACATGATGCGCTCAGTGGTGCTTTCTGTCTCCCCCTGGGAGTGGCTTTCCGACATGATCCTCTGGAAGGAAAGGGGTGGGATGGAGGAAGGGCGTGGCCTCGGGGCTCCGACCCTCCCAAATCTGGCTGGTGCATCTCCCTTGCTCGAGGTTGCCTTTTATGGTAATAATGTGGGACTGGAGGAGAGGACTTCCTTTGTGTCCCAAACCTGCATGAAGGCGCCATGTGGGCGCCCTCTAGTGGCTGAAAGCGGGAAGAGGTGCGCGATGACACAACAGGAAGCGGGGGGTGGTCCCTGCCGCGCATGATGCTCTTGAGCTCGCGGCAGGTGGCTCCGGCGCCTGGAACTGGAACCGCGGATGCTGTTGCTGCAGAAGCCGAATCCTCGCCTGTGCGCCTTCCCCTAACGGCCGTGTTTTTCCCTCCTTCCCTTCCCAGATCGCCATGGATGATGATATCGCTGCACTCGTGGTTGACAATGGCTCCGGAATGTGCAAGGCTGGGTTTGCCGGGGACGATGCTCCTCGTGCCGTGTTCCCCTCCATTGTCGGCCGCCCGAGACACCAGGTACGTGGCTGGGGAGCTGTGGTTTTGATTCTGGGGCAGGGGGAAGGGGGCTTTTGATTCAGGAGTTACGTCGGCTTGTTCCCCAGTGCTGAAAACGTCCCCAGCCAGGAGCTGTTCAACCATGGCCCACCACCAGCCTTCAGAAATGCAGCCAGAGGCATTGGTGTTGATTCCCCCGTTTTGTTGGGAGTGGCTTGCCCCGAGAACCCTGCAGCACGAGACTCCAAAGAGGGGGCCTTGTGTCCAGAACGAAATGTGCCCCCAAGCTTTTTTCGTCAAGCGCAAGTTGATTTTCAGCTTGCCACAAGCAGGACCTGCCTGGTGGTGAAGTTGTTAGGATATAATAACAGAGCAGTGGAAGTCAGTTGAAATAATCCGAAGCTGTTAGCCTGGGGTGGCCCACTGGGGGTCTTCCAGGGAATGTTGGACTACAACTCCTATGAGCCTCAGCTGGCATAGCATGATGGGAGTGGTCGGACACAAGCATGTGGACTATTCCCTACAATAGGTGATCGGGAAAAAAATCCTTTTGGGAAAGTCCTTTAACCACGAATGCGTGTCTCCTGGGCTGACAAGTGAAACTCCAGTGGTCCAACCCTCCTGCACAGAGGAAATCAGCCAAGTCTGTGTCTGTGTGGGCTGTAGAAATGGCACATATTCCACCACTGTCACTCACATCTTCTAACTTCTTTGGTGCCAGGAGCTTTTGTACATGCCATCCTCTCCTGGGGATGGAGCAGGTTGGTCCCAGTTCTTCATCAGAAGTTGGCACCCGTCTGATGCCTGTGTTCTTCTCCTCGCAGGGTGTGATGGTGGGCATGGGCCAGAAAGACAGCTACGTCGGTGATGAGGCGCAGAGTAAAAGAGGTATCCTTACCCTGAAGTACCCCATTGAACACGGCATTGTCACCAACTGGGATGACATGGAGAAGATCTGGCACCACACCTTCTACAATGAGCTGAGAGTTGCTCCGGAAGAACACCCCGTGCTGCTGACAGAGGCACCTCTGAATCCCAAAGCCAACAGAGAAAAGATGACACAGGTACTTGGGCTCTCCCTCCCTCAAGCGTGCCTCCTTCCAGCCTATTTCATTCAGATACCAATCGGCGTTTCATTTTTCTTGTTCACCTCTTTTTCTTTCTTTCTTTTTTCTTTGTTTTGCTCATCTCTGCAGGGGTTTCCTTTCTGGTCTGAACCTCTTGCCGGATCTTGAAAGGTTTTTATCTGCCCTTTTCCCAAATTGGCTTTCTCTTCTCTTTTCTGACTTGCTGGTGTTCACCTGAGCCCTCGCTTTCTTTTCCAACTAACGTTGACTTGCTTTGAGTGACTTCAGTAATGTTTCCTGTGTTACATGGGGGGCTCTGGGGGTGGGGATTGCTGTAATGCAAGCTGGTGGCGGGTGGGGAGGATTAACAGTTTGGATCTGTTGTGTAGCCCCGTATTTGACTTGGCATGAATTGACTTCCCAGTGATGCGGTTTACCCGGCTGAGCGCGCGGCAATCGTCCTGCAGTTTTCCAGGTTCCGTAACGGCATTTGGCTTGTCTCTTTCTGCCTCGTAGATCATGTTCGAGACCTTCAACACCCCGGCCATGTACGTTGCCATCCAAGCAGTGTTGTCCCTGTACGCCTCTGGTCGCACCACTGGTATTGTGATGGACTCTGGTGATGGGGTCACCCACACGGTGCCCATCTACGAAGGTTACGCTCTGCCCCACGCCATCCTCCGTCTGGACCTGGCTGGTCGCGACTTGACTGACTACCTCATGAAGATCTTGACCGAAAGAGGCTACAGCTTCACCACCACAGCCGAGAGGGAAATCGTGCGTGACATCAAAGAGAAACTGTGCTATGTTGCGTTAGATTTCGAGCAGGAGATGGCCACAGCTGCGTCCAGTTCTTCCCTGGAGAAGAGCTACGAGCTGCCCGACGGACAAGTTATCACCATCGGCAATGAGAGGTTCAGGTGCCCAGAAGCTCTCTTCCAGCCCTCTTTCTTGGGTATGTTTCTAATCCTTGCAATGCTTGATTCCGTTTCCCTTCAGACATCTGGACCAGCGATCAGGATGTCTTGGCCTACAGCTCCCAGCACCCTCACTGTCTGCTGACAAAAGCCAATGGGAGTTGTAGGCCCAAACATCTGGAGGTAGATGAGCTCCATGAGAGAGACCTGAACTTACTGGGTTGCTTCTCGGAGCAGATCTTGTGGGCTTAGTGATGGGAGTTTCTTTCCGGTTTTAAACTCTTTGCTTGTTAACTCCTCGGGCAGGCATGGAATCCTGCGGCATCCACGAAACCACCTTTAATTCCATCATGAAGTGCGACGTGGACATCCGCAAAGACCTGTATGCCAACACCGTCCTTTCCGGTGGCACCACCATGTACCCAGGCATCGCCGACAGAATGCAGAAGGAGATCACAGCCCTGGCCCCCAGCACGATGAAAATCAAGGTGAGCCTCGAGTCTTGGAGGGGGTCGAGGTTGTATGGGAGGTGGAAGCTCATCCTGCCGTAAGCCTGAAGGACGCGGATCTCCGAGGGCCCTTGCCTCTAGCATGAGGTCACTCACCTGCGTGACAGGTGTGAGTACAGAGGCCAGGCATCTCCGGTCCGCCTCCTACCGCCGTTGTGCAGCCCCGGGCGCGAGGCGGTTGAGCACACTCGGGTTGTGGGTTCCAGGCACGTGCTCCGCCACTCCAACCCTTGCTAGTGGGTTCTTTGGGGGTGCAGCGTTCCCCCAAAAGAAGAGAATGGGCTTGAGCCAGGTGCCCGTTGGCATGTCTTGTTGGCAGCTGTGGTGGCATTCAGCTGACCTGATGTTCCATGCCGTATAGGACAGGGATTAGAGCGTTCATTTTCCCAGCGGACAGCAGCTTGCCCGGACTTTCTGGGGTAGTCAGCTGGTGGATCTTGACTTTCCTCTGCGGAGTTCTAACAACTCTGTTTTTCTTCCGTAGATCATTGCTCCTCCAGAGCGCAAATACTCTGTCTGGATCGGTGGCTCCATCCTGGCCTCTCTGTCCACCTTCCAGCAGATGTGGATCAGCAAGCAGGAGTATGACGAATCTGGACCATCTATTGTCCACCGCAAATGCTTCTAAAAACAAGGACTAGTTACCACAATAACATTTTTCTCTTTTTGACAAAAATTCCCCATAACTGCGTGTTAAAAAATGAGTTGAGAATTGGCATGGTTTTATTTGTTCTGGCGCTTGACTCAGGATATAAAAACTGGAATGATGAAAAGTTGGTGGCGGCAGTCTTTAAAAAAAAAAGTAATTAAAAATGTGTTGGAGCGAATGTCCCCCAAAGTTCTGCATCGCATCGCTGGACTTTGCTTGTACATTTGTGTTGTTTTTTTTAATAGGCATTCCAAATATTGTATAATACTTTGAGAGGAAGTTCAGCCAGCCGCTGAAGGCAACAACAGCCCAGCTCACAAGAGCAGAATTAACTTTCTGGTGATCTAGAAAAGAATTGCTTGTATGTAAATCACGTAATCCAACAAGTGTCTTTCTGTATCTTGCGCCTTAAAGCAAAAAACACTTGGTCCTCTTTCGGGGTTTTTTTGGTCAAGCAAAAAAAAGAAAAAAAAAACAAAGAAAAATAATGGGCTGTGTATGTTCCTCCTCTTCCCAGTCTAGATGTGAAGGCTTACAGTTGAACCCCCTTCTCCTCCCATGGGGAATTTCCCAAATTTGGTGCCAGTATGTATACGGGATTCAGTGGGGTGGGGGAGATAAACTGTACACTGACTTAAGAACAGTTCCAATAAAGATGCACACAATAGACCTTGGCTGTCTGGCTTCATGTTCCTTGTTCCTCCGCTGTAAATCCTGCAGGGGGTGGGGGAGCGAAGGGTGGGCTTCAAACCATGCAATTGGGGAGGGGGGAGACCTCTCTGTTTAGGCCTCTAACATCAGAGATCCTCTGGCCCTAAGCTCCCATCAGCTCCATCTAATAGGATCAATTGTCAGGAAGGACGGGGTGGGAGTTGGGAGCCCAAAATACTTGGGGAGCCACTGTCCGTTCATCACCAAGTTGAAGATGGTGCAGAGGGGAGGGCAGGGCAAAATTGCTGAGAAAAAACAGATTAAGGGCCAAGTCTTCCTTCGGAAGCCTGGCTTTCAGATCCATGATGGGAAAATAATACATTGTAGCACCCAATCCATGGGGAAAAGGGTACCAGCTCCTTACCTTGCCATCTTGAAGGGCTAGCATAGAAGATTTTGGAGGTGGCTCTAGGAATCCAGTGCGTTACCATTTTTTCCCTGGTGCAAGCCCTGTTTGGCAAATAGGTGCTGGAAGTAAGCCATCCCGGTAGTGCTAGGTTCGGTGCAGAAAGATCTCATCCAGGAGGGCATGAAACATGCTGAGTGGAAAGTGCTGGCTCACTGGAGTGTACATTTATCTTTTCAGTCAACACTACAAGGATTCATCAAGGTCAGCCGGAGCTGGGCAAGACATGCAGGAAGCCTAGAAGTGGAGTAGGATATTGCTGGCCTGATCCTGCTTGTTCAGCTCCTGGAATTCAGATTACTTGGAAGCACTTCAGCTAGAACAAGTGCTGTATCAATGCTTAGTGAAAACTTGAACTGGTTCATGCATTCAGTTTACTTACAGGTCTCCTGTGGCTAGTGGTTGCTTTGGCTCCTGGAAGTAACACACCTTAAATGATTGTCTTTCAGATCAGAGGATAACCTAAGCATACACGCAGTTCCCACGCTTTAGCTCTTCCTGACATTGCATCCCGGTGCCTGGGCCCATTTTAGCTTGCATTTTGCACACCCGAATTTTGAGCTTTTACAAGCATGGGGGCCTCAATGACCTCGTGGAAGCCCATTCCACACCCTCGGGGTCCTGACTGGCAGGAAGTGCTTCCTGGCATCCAAATGGAACCTGGGTTCCCTGAGCTTTGCTCCACTGGAGCACATCCTGCCTTCCTCTGCAGGGGAGAACCGGTCTCTACCCACCTCCATGTGACATCTCCATCTTTAGGTTGTATCCTTAGTGCATCAGCCCAAACACTGCAGAGCATTGTTGGGAGGCCAGAGTCCAGTTTTCAGAGTATCTTTACCTTTTGTGTATAAATGTGCATATGGGCATAGGTGCATTTGATTTTAATGTTCATGCATCTGTACCACCCAATAGCCAAAGTGCTCTGCATTGTTGACAAAAGATTAAAAAGTAAATACAGTATAAAACATAGAGGCCAATTTAAGACACTCCACAATTATAACAGAGATCAGACCTCCCAGAACTCAATCAAAAAAACACCTTGTGAGCTGCGAAATGGTTGGGAATAAAGGACCATCATCTGGTACATGTTGGTGCCAGGTGGGCCTCACTGGAGATGTCATCCCGTAATTGGGATGCCACCACTGAGAACACCCTCTCCATCCTTGGCACCCCCAAACTTCCTTCGCAGGAGACACCCAATAGATCCTAATCTTGGTAGCTCTGCTTTGCTATTCTAAACCGGAGACTGGTTTTCTTTCTGGAATGGATCCATCTCACCATTCTTTGCCTTGGACAGTCAACTTTTCCTAGCATAGGTGTCTCTTTCAGGGAGAACTGCCTTCTCGTGTTGCGCCCAAAGTGTGGCAGCTTTGATTCAGTTAGTTTTGCTTCCCGGGAAAATTCTGGCTTCATTTGATCGAGGAATCACGCGGTCAGTGCAGGATGGTGACAAAAGTCTCCTCCAGCACCGTGTTTCGAACGCATCCATGTTTTTCCTGTCAGCCTTTCTCACTGTCCAGTTTTCACACCATGTCCAGGGATTGGGATGTACCAGTAGTGGGCAGCCAGTGCAGAAGGCCCAGGTCACGCTACCAGCATGGCAAAAGGGAGACTCTTGTTGAAAAAAATGGGTATATTTTGCCTGGGGAAGACTGGATGGGGACCTGGCTTCTAAGCCATGCTGGCTGTCACACAGAGGAAGGCAAACTCTCATTTTCTGCCATCCCCAAAGGCAGCACGGTTAATTTCCAGCAGGGAAAATTTTGGCCAAACATTTGGAGAAATGTCTTGATGGGATGGGCTATTTGATGTAGGGGTCAGTTGCCAAGAGAAGTGAGCAATGAGAAGACTGGGCCAGGGTTTTGTCTGGTGATCTTTTAAAAGGGATTTGGCCAGGACTTTCACCATCACCTGGCCCAGCATCCCTTTTCTAGCCTGGGGTCATAGCCCAGTTAAGGGCCCCTGTTTTAGGGTAGCTGGGCTTCAGCGATCTACCGCTTGATCACTGCAGTGTGTTGTACGTAGACTTTTGCCTCAGAGATTTAGTACAAAACAGAGCAGCTGCAGTACTGACCAGGTGTTAAAGCCCTATTACGCCCGTAGTATATAACTGTTAACTTATTTCCTAGACTTTTTTCCCAGCAAACACAAAGTGGCTTGCGTCTTTCTCCTCTGCTTGCTCTCAGTTTTATCCCTGCAACAACAGCCCTGTGAGGTAGGTTGGGCTGAGAGTCTTTGACTGGCCCAAAGTCGCCCAGTTGGCTCCATGGCTGAATGGGGACTAGAACCCAGGTCACTGGAGTCCCATTCCTGGGCTCTTAACCATTACACCACGCTGGCTCTCCAGGTACTAGTTCCCAGGTCATTTTGGGGCTCAGTTCAAGGTGCTGGTATTAACGTGCAAAACTCTTCATGTCTTGTTGCCACCATACTTAAAGGACAGCCTGTTTCCGTATGTTTCTGCCCATGCCCTGAGATCGTTGTTCGTGGCCTTGAGCTGGTGCATAACTACTCATGAGCAAGTCTTTTCTGCAGTTTCCCCCAATTGTGGGATACCCTTTCCAGTGCAGCCTACCTGAAACCTAGTTTGTTGACCTTTGGATGCCAGGCAAAGATTTTTTTAATTCCCTCAGACCTTGCAAAAGTATATTGACTACAGTGTGCTTTATTGTAATGTTTCATCATTATTACATTGAATTTATATCCTACCTTTTTTTCTTTTTGTAAGGAGCAAAGAAGTGTACACAGTTCTCCTATGCTCCATTAATGCTGCATTTAAAATAATCACATTTTTAGTTGCTCATTTATCTATCTCCTAGAAACACTGATTTTTGGCTGCTTTTAAGAATAATGCTTTTGATTATATTAAACATGGCTTTATTTTTGCTTCCTTTTGCTTTGGCTAGAGCACAACCCATAAGTTGAATAAATGAAACTGAATGTTTCGGATGTTCTCTAATGAAAAGAACACCCAATGACATGCATGTGTGGTGAATTCACAGGAGTTTGGCCAACAAAGGTTCTCACATCAGTCCCCCTAGCTGGCACTGTCTAGAAGTAATGGATCGCAACTCCCATAGTCCCCAGCCAACATGGGGTCGAAAACATCTGGAAGGCACCAATTTGGGGAAGTCTGATAACAAATTGCACCAGCTGAAAATGCTGGTAGGAATCTCTCTTATTTACCTTGAATAAGTTTCTGCAATTTATGCCATGGTATTTGTATTCACTTTATAGAATATATATGATGCACTGTTCCAAGGTTTTGTCTGTTTTAGGATTGGTAGGGAGCAATTGATCAATGGTAGGGATTTTGGCTGGGGAAGACACAATGGGATTTCTTCCATGGTTTTATTTTTTAAAAATGATAGAGGAACTAAATGCACAAAGCTAAGCTGCCTCGGGTGCTGTTTTTCTTGGTAAAAAAAGCTGGGTAGAAATCAAGAACACCATCCTATGCATGTTTAGGTAAGAAAAAGGGCCTACAAGTCCCAGCATGCCCCAGCTAGCAGTGCATGTCTGTGTCTTTTATAAATAAAGAGCTGGTTTCACTTGACAGGTATATCGATGAGGGTACATAACTGAAGAAGTGCTGATGCCCCGAAACTGTCCCCCAGAAGACTAATTTTTGATGATGTACCTCATGGAAATCCTGAAAAGTAAAATATAGAAACAGTTCCCTATTGCAGATTAACGTTAAATCAGATCTTACAGAGTTCCAAACCTGCCACGCCCTATGCAGGTTTGCTCAGAGGTAAATCCTATTGGACTTCCTGTAATGTAGGTTACTTAAACCGCAATCCTATAGCTGTCTCCCCCTGTCTAAACAGCGGATTAAGGTTTTGGTTTATATAGTGAGATTCTGTATAAAAGAAATAAGAGCGAGGAGGGCAGAGAATCACCCCGCTGCTTGTGCCACTCCCAAGATGGCGGGCCAAAAATCATTTCCGACAACTTTCCATTGAATCAAACACAGCCCAGAAATTTGATTTTTTTCAGAAGAAAATTAGGGGGAAAACTGGCACTTTCAAGATGCTAGGGCAGAGTGGCTAGTCGAAGGAACAAACAACCCAATCCCACTGGGCTTTGACACCTTCAAGATGGCGGCGAAAAGGGCGACGGCGTGCTTCGTTTCCAAGATGGCGCCGCCGCCGCCTGCCGCTCTCAAAATGGCGGCGCCGGAACGGCGAGAGGAGCCCCGCGCGCTCTTCCCATACACCTGGCTGGCAGGGGGGCGGAAGTGAGGTTGAGAGTGCGCCGGAAGTTTTGCGGGGCTGCGAGCCGGCTGGGAAGAAGCCGTGTGAGAGACGGGAGGCTTGGGGGAGCATCTTTGCCTTGGGGCGCAGAAGCGTTTTCGGAGGCCGAGGCCGGCGGACGATGGCCTGCCCCGGAGAGGTAAAAACAGCCACCTGCGCCACGACACCCAAACCCCTGGTTTCCGTGGCCACCACGGCCTTTGCGCTTTCCTCACCCTCCTGTTCATACGTATCCATAGCAACGCCTCCAGCCATGCTCACACAACCCGCAGGCCGTGCTCTGCCTCCTCGCGCGCATCGAACGTCTGAACTCTCCCTGTCCCGAGTCAGGGTAAGCAGGGTAGCGTGTACTCTGCCTGGAGTCCACAGTAGCAGCAGCAGCAGCAGCTCTTTTCCGGGGCCATCAGGCAGAGAGGGGTCTTCCGCCATCGTTGCTGACCGGGTTCTAGTCCCCACTGGGACCATTAAAAGGACTGAATGACTCGGAGCCCGTCACTAACTATCAGCCTGCCTTACAGGGTTGTTGTGAGGATAATAGGGAGAAGATGAGGACCGTGAGAGTCCTTTGGGTTTCCTTGAGGAAAACATGATTTAAATCCATAAAGAAAAGTTCCTTTGGGCTGGAAGCAATGCCAGGGATAGAGCCTGGGGCTCCTTCCAGAGTCTGAGGAGGCATTTTTAGCTGCTGGTCCATGTAGCTGTGTGAGAGATAAGACAGACCCCAGAGAGGGAGACCCCAGAAATATAATGCTCTAATGGCAGCAACTCTCCAAGTTCACTGGCCTAGGGGGCTTGTGCAGCTCTACCTCCAGAAGTCCTTCTAAATTGAGATGGTGTGAGACCTGGGACCTTTTCCATGGAAGAAGCCCACTTCTTTTGTCTTTGGCGCACCCATTACTGGAATGTGGCCCATTAGAAATGGAATCTGGAAGAGATTCAACACACCTGCTGTGGCAGGACCCATCCGCTTCTCACCCCTGCCTCCACTTTCATTTTGCTTTTAATTCCTTTGCTCATGTTTTTCTTAGCTCTTGTTGCTCCTTAAATCCTCTGCCCCAATTCCTAATGATGTACTATCTCATTCCCCCTTTCTCTGGTGCTGGACCCCTTACACTTTTCTCAAGAGCACCTCTCAATTCATGTCTCACCCAGCTTACACAAACACTCACACACACCAGGCCCCTGCTGATCCAGTTCCTCAGCTTGGCCATCCCACAAGCCAAGTTGCAAGTGCTTCAGGCCAGGTGGCTTATCTGAGATGGCCCTTTTCTGGGATGCCAGAGTACAACCAGGTGTGGTCTGTCTGTCTGCCCCCCCCCCCCCCCGCCGGCCCGATGGCTCACTGCTGTTCTGTTAGCTGCTTTGAGAAATGCTGTGTTGGAGGAAATAAGAGATCTCTGTTGTAATTACCCACTGAGCTCTGTAAGACATCGCTGGAAGGTTACCATAGTTTGCATTTCTTCCCTAAACCTGGCATATCTCATCACCCTATGAAGAAAAATACCAGACACTGTTCACATGTAGAAGGCAGGCTATGCTAGCTGTACTAGGCATGTGTTCATTACAGTCTCACTGAATTCAATGGTACTTAAGTCTCTAGTAAATATGCATAGGATCAAAACCTAAGAAATAGAAAGGAAGGGATTGTCCTGTTGAGCAGAGCCTGTGCATGAGCTGAAGTTCTATTGGACTGCTAATAATGGAGGGGGTTGGGGACACCCGCAAATATTGCAAAATTAAAATTAGCCACTTGAACGTCTATATTGATCCTTAGAATGCTGAATTTTGCACTAGCATCTGTGCTGTGCCATACATTCCTCCTTTTTTCTGTGAGCAGTACATTCCTGTTATATGAGTAACAAAATCAAATGCTGTCAGATTAGTATGCTTGTCCTGGGGTTCAGCTCTGACTCCCAATGTTCCCAGGATTCTTGTTTTGCTTTCCTCCCAGCCACCGATTGTGTGGTGGCTTCTTGGCCCTTTTTGGCAGTTTTTCAGCCTTTCTGAAAGGTTGACATCCCTCTTCTGAGGCTTAGTTGTTGGCAGGAAGAGCTTGGGTTTGTTGTCTCCACCCTTTTTGCCTTTGGCCCTGCTGACCACCAGAATGTGTCCCCCAAAACTCTTCTGAAATTGAATCCAAACTTTGTGCTGAAAGAGTTTCAAAACCCCTGGCAGAGAGCACGCTTTGGAATTACACCCGTGAATGTCTAACTACTGCTGTTTTTAATTGACTGGATCTTTTAGAAACCATGTGCCTGTCAAAAACAGTTATTTTTCCTGCTTCTGAGCACTGCTGTCTTACTCCTCTCTGCTTTCAGGAAGTAACAAGCAGGGAGGGCACAGAGGAGAACAGCAGCATGAACTTGATGGAGTTCTCAGATGAGATCCTCTTACATATCCTGAGATACACTCCGATCTTGGATCTCATCCTGAACGTTCGGCGAGTGTGTCGCAAACTTTCTGTGCTTAGTCTTGACAAAAGCCTCACCCACACTGTGATCCTGCATAAGGACTATCAGGTAAGGAAGAGACCTGAGGCAGCTGCAGAACTAGGATGGGGCAAGGTGACTTGCTATCTTTGGGGAGGCTCATCTTTATTTAGTGGTTTCCTCGGTGTTCTCAAGGCTGGTGTGATGAGAGGAAAGAAGGATTTTAAGAAAAAGGGGACCAATTTGAAGGTGCGACTTGGGTTTGCTTTGGAAGAATGCCCTTTGGCCCTGGCATAAACAGGATCAGGGATGTTGCAACCTGCATTTGATGCCACGGTGATGCCCAGGAGATTCTTGGCCCTGCCTTTGGCTCACTCACATGTGCCAGGAGTTTCCTTCTGGTGAACAAGAAGAGTGGTGCAGGGGGAATCAGTGGAGGTGCGCGGCCCCCGCCTGGCCGCTGCTGCTGCCCAGCTGCTTCTTGCCTCTGCTGCTCATGTGCGGAGGGCGGCAGAGGGGAATCTGCCCAGCAGCTTCTCCCTCTGGCATTTGGAGACAAGACAGGCTGAGTCGTGTAAAGAATCGCCATTACTTGTCATAGGAAGCCACCCAGGGTGTGCCATGTCATGCAGGTAATTGCTAGCGAGACACAAAAATGTCCCCATTAAACCTGACTTAATGCATTTAGACACCTTATAACAGGTGGGTAGCATAAAGGCCCTGTGATGTTTTGGCCCGCAGCTCCCACCAGTGTTAGCCAGCTTAACCAAGGGTCTCAGAAAGTAGGCGGAGACTTCTGGAGGGCTACACCTTGTCCACCCCTGCCTTATAGGTAGCCTAAGTTTGTCTCTTCTTTGGCTGCTTGCATGCAGGTAGACAAAGATAAGCTGAAGCAGCTCATAAGAGAAACAGGCAAAGAGATTCACGACCTGAACATGACCGGCTGCTATTGGCTGCCCGGCTCCACCATTGACCAAGTGGCCCGGTGCAAAAGCCTGGTGAAGCTGAACTTGTCCGGCTGCCACCTGACCTCGCTCCGTCTCTCGAAGATGCTGTCTGCCTTGCCGCACCTTCGCTCACTGGCGATCGATGTGAACCCAGGTTTCGACGCCTCCAACCTGAGCAGTGAGTGCAAAGCCACGCTGAGCCGTGTGCTGGAGCTCAAGCAGACCCTGTATACGCCTTCCTACGGAGTGGTCCCCTGTTGCACCAGCCTCGAGAAGCTCCTCTTGTATTTCGAGATCCTTGACCGCTCGCGCGAGGGCCTGATCCTGTCTGGCCAACTGATGGTGGGCGAGAGCAACGTGCCGCATTATCAGAACCTCCGGGTTTTCTACGCTCGGCTGGCCCCCGGGCCAGTCAACCAGGAGGTGGTGAGGCTGTACTTGGCAGTGCTGAGCGACCGCACGCCGGAGAAGCTGCATGCCTTTCTCATCTCTGCTCCCGGGGGCTTTGCACAGAGCTGTGCCATGAAAAACCTCTTGGACTCCATGGCCAGGAACGTGACGTTGGACGCCCTGCAGCTGCCCAAGTCGTGGATGAACGGCTCCAGCCTTCTGCAGCACCTGAGGTTCAGCAACCCCTTCTACTTCAGCTTCAGCCGCTGCAGCTTATCCGGCAGCCAGCTGGTCCAGCGGGTCCTGAACGGCGGCAAGGACCTCCGCAGCTTGGTCGGCCTGAACCTGAGCGGCTGCGTCCACTGCCTTTCTCCCGACTCGACGCTGCGCAAGGCCGAGGACGACATTGACAGCGGCATCGTGGAAACCCTGGTGTCCTCCTGTTGCAACGTGCAGCACCTGAACCTCTCTGCTGCCCACCACCACAGCTCGGACGGCCCGGGCAGACACCTGTGCCAGCTCCTCGCCCGCCTGAAGCGCCTCGTTTCCCTGGCCTTGCCCGTCTGCGCCATCGTGGATGCTTCCGCCGTGACTGCAGACAAGCCTTCCGTGCAGCCAGTGAGCCACACGCCTTTCCAAGGCTTCGGGAAGAAAGTCCGGATCGGGGTGCAGACCTATCCCCGGAACGGCCTCGACCAGGGCAATTCGAAGCTGCAGTCCTCCTTGTTCTGGACTCTCCTGGAAAGCCTCCCCTTCCTAGAGCGGCTGGAGCTGATTGGGTCCAGCTTTTCCTCAGCCATGCCCAGGAACGAGCCGGCCATCCGGAACTCGCTGCCCCCCTGCGGCCGGGCGCAGCTTGTGGGCGATGCGGAAGTGGCCGCCATCAGCCAGCTGGCCTTCCTGCGGAGCCTCACTCTGGCCCAGTTGCCCAACATCCTCACCGGCTCCGGGCTGGTGAGCATTGGGGTCCAGTGCCAGCACCTGCGGACTCTCTCGCTGGCCAACCTGGGCGCGATGGGCAAGGTGGTGTACATGCCGGCCCTCATGGACATGCTGAAGCACTGCAGATGTTTGCGGGACCTCAGGTGAGGCACAGGGCTTGCTCTTCCGGCTGCTTTGCCTCAGGGCGGGGACCTGCTTCCACTCTGAGAGCGGTACTCAGTGCTGGAAAGGCTGCTGGGGGCTGCAGGCTGGTGCTGGGCTGAAGGCCAGAAGGGTGGGACCAGAGTGCCTGCGCACTGCAGCTGTACGCTCTTCCTAGCAGCAAAATAACGCCTCAGGAGGAGCGGTTGAAAGTGTGCCCAAGATCCTGGAAGCCACCAAAGCAGTGGTGGTCAGGAGACAGGGAGCGGAGCTACCTGGGGAGACCCGGGAAGCCTGGATTTTGATCCCAGGGCGGAGGTTCCCCACCCCTGCTTTCCCTGACATGGAAGTAAAAATGGTTGGCCTCTGCTCCCAAGCCCACCAGTGAGACATCTTCTCAACTTGGCATTCCTCTCTTTGCCCGCCCAGGTGCTTCCCATCTTGGAGTGCGTCCCCTGGGTGAATGGGTTGGTGCGTTTAATTAACTCAGATAAACCTTTTATTGATGGAAAAGCTGAAATTGGACAGTTGATAGTGAAGCAATGCTGCCATCTAGTGGACTAGGTGGTGGGCTGCAGTTGGGTGTTCCGCTTCTGCCTCTTGTTGGGAATGACTTGGGCTGCAAACTGACGCATGTTGTGGCAGAAAAATTTAATTGATGCGCCCTTTTTGCCTTTGAAGCCCTCACAGGCTGTGCGATAGCTTTGATAAATGGCGTGTGACCCTGTCCTTGTGCCCACATTTGGCGCGCGACTGCAAAGGGAAAGATGTGTATGCTGCTCTCCTGCCATCTGCCCCAAGCACCACTGCTGAATTACTATCCATGGCATTGTTTTCATGACACTTAAATAAGGAGCTCCTCTTTCATTCCCCGCCCCCCGATTTCAACTGAGCAAGAGTGAGCTCAGGATTTGGTGTCTTTGATGTGCTACTGAACTGGAAAGAAACCTGCCCGATATCACCCACAAAGATCAGTTTCACAAGGATTCATGCTTGGTTGCCTGGAGCCAGTTCTTCCTTAATCAAGGCGACCAGGCAGGTAGCCACTTAGAAGCTGCACCACTTATGAGACAGTTCAGTGTAAAATACCCGACTGCCCAGCTTTGTCTTGGGTTACCCTGTCAGTGGGCCAGTTTGGAAGTTCAAGATCTTGGAGCCTTGCCAAGGGTGTGGAATGGCAAACGGGGGGTTGCCTCTTCCTGTCCCTTGTTATCTTTAATTTTCTAGCCGCTGCCTTTGCAAAGAGGGCCTGAACCATTTCAGTTGAAAGAAGCTTGGGGGGCTTCTGTCACATTCACCTCTGCCAAAAGGAAGATCTCGCCCACCCCTCCAGGGGTGCAAAATTTCAATCTCCTGGTTTCCACACAGGGCCCCTCAGAGGGCCGCGTCTTGTGTCACGGGAGGTGTGCATCCTGTAATCGCCTCTTGTCTTCTCTTGCAGGCTGGAGCAGCCCTACTTCAGTGCTAATGCCCAGTTCTTCCAGGCTTTGAGCCACTGCACTTCCTTGCAGCGCCTTTGCATCATCTCTCGGAGCGGGACCCTGCAGCCGGACGCCGTGATGCTGTTCATGACCACCTGCCTCGAGGTCATCATGTGCCACATGTTCACAGGGGAATCCCTCACGGTTTGCAAAACCCTCCAGCAGTCGCTGATGCGGAGGTGAGTGAAGGCAGGGCTGGATCAGGTTCTCCTCACTGCTGCCCCTTTCCTCCTCCACTGTTTTTTTTTTTAGGACCAAGATCAGTATGGTCGGTGGGGGGTATCTCCTCAGACACTACTGCTAATCAGGTTGGACCTGATTGCAGGGACCGCTTGCTGGAATGACAGGTGTTCTGGGGAATCCCATCTTGCCCGTGGACACCACTGTGCCACAAGACGTCCCTTCCACTAGCCTGACATGGCTTATATTAGTGTTCGGGGCTCATTTGATGCAGTACCATTTTGGGGCAACTTTACGACTTGTCTCAAAATATGGGGAGAAAAGCACGAGGACCACAGTGCCTTGGCATCCTCTTTGGTCCAAGCTCAGAGAAGGAAGGAGTCTTTCCCCCTGCTCTCAAGTGTGCTAAGGTGGGGCAGTCAAGATGTATCGGAGTATATCCGGGCAGATCTCTCCATGATTTGCAGTGCATCAGCAAACACTGAAGACCAGGTTGTCCCAGCAGGAGCAATTTGTCGACCCAAATCAGAATCCCTGACTTAAGCTCAGAGATGGACTGGGATTTGGACATGCAGGGTATCTCTGTGTGCGGCTCAGGGGGTGCAGGTGGTCAAGGACTCCGTTGTACCGTCTTGCATCTGCTCTGGCTGAGGAGACGGCGAGGGTTGTGGGGAAAAGCAGAGTCGAACCAGCCTCGCGAGTCCACCCCTGTGCCATGAGGGCATGGTGGCTCTCTGCCCTCTCGTGCCCCGCTGTGTTCAGGGCCTGGAAGAGCAGCAGAGAAGCACCACCGGCTTTGTGTGGGTTGAACGGGACAGTTTCTGGGTTGGACTCTGTCCTGGAGCCACCAGTTGGCTTTTTCTTGGTGAGATGGTCAGGGGAATCAGTCAACCGAATCTCTGTCAGTTTCCACTGTCGCTAAAAGGGCACATCCCGACTGTGGGAATCATTTGGAATTTACCAGCACTTTTTAAAGTGGGCAACTTTCTTGCCTTCATAAAAAATGGAAGCTAGAAATCACACCGGGAAATGCTGCGTGTGTAGGGCTCCTATCCCACCACTCTCTCCTCCTCTCCTGTGCAAGAATTACTTTTTAAGGAAAACCATTAGATTTCTGGGTGGTTCTTCGTATTCCTGAACCTGCCGTGGTTCTTCCTTCCAGTGGGTGTGAAGAGAAGGAAAGAGTCGCTTTTTGCCCCCCCCCCCCCCCCCCCCATCCTTTGCCCACACAGCCCATCCCACTTTGCCGGCCGCCTCTCCGTTCCCGACCACTCGCCTCAGTATTCCTCTCTCTCCTCCATCCTGAATTCCTTTGGGAGTGGCTGAGCCTGGGGTCAAGGTAGGGAAAACTTCTTTCTGTTGGGGGAAGAGGCATTTTCCTTTCCTCTGGGGCTGGGAAAAGGCATTTGTGAGTGTATGTAAAGGTTTCCTTTGTGGACCAGCTGAGAAGTAATTCCTGCTCAGTTCCATGTAAGCAGGCATCGGTTTGGAACCTTAAATGGACATTTTTGTAGGGTACCTCTGACCCACATACCCCATCATCCCTGACCATTGACCATGCTGGCTGTGAGAGTTAAAATACAGCAGCATTTGGAGAGCCGCATGTTCCAGAGATCACAGATGAACTGCTGCAAAGTGAGGCCTTAATAAAGTAATGGAATCTGGGATTCTGAAGACCGGGAGACTGTCGGGGCCTTGTTAGCGGCCAAAAGGCTGTGCTGAGAACTTGCAAGGAGTAGCCCCCCCCCCGCTGTACACACGCAAAATGTCTCGCACAACTAGTTCTTCGGCAGCCTTGCATGCTGCAGGCGTGGCATTCCGGTGGCGGTGGCAGCTCGCCCTGCAGGGCTGTCGTGGGGGCTGCCTCGACCGTGGTCGCCCGGTTTGCTTTGGGAAGAGGCTGCAGGGATATAACATATCCCCGTCGCATCCAGACAAGCCTCGGGGTGCCTTCAACGGCTTGGAAGGCAGCTGCCTGCGGAAGTGCATCTTTCAGCATCGTGCTGTGCTTGGCATGGCAGCAGTCGGGCAGTTTGCCAAGATGAGGGCTGTTAAACGCCCCATGATGTCAATGGATGCTTTTCAACAGAGCCCTCGTCTGTGTCTTAATTGAATTCATCCAGGGGGATTTTTTTCCCCCATAAGAAGCAGAAATTCCTTTTCCAGTCTTCTCATTCTTTGCCTGTCCAACATCTCATAACAGTGCTGAGCTAAACTTTAATAGCCTTTTTCCTGTGCTGGTTTGTGCTCTCTAGAAGCCAGATTGCAGCTGCTTTCTCGCATCTCATGCAGGCCTGTCTCCTTCCTCTGTTTTCCTTTTTCTGTCTCTCTTAAACGTAGGTGTTTTTAAACATACGTGGTTCTTTGCCTGTCAAAACAAGCGAAGTAACACTCTCCCTCTGCTTCACACCATTCTAATGGCAATATTAAAGCAGGGGTGGGGAAAAGAAACTTAGGAAGGGCCCTGCTAGAGCAGACATTCTTTCTACCCCGACACCCTGCACCTTTCTAGAAAGTAGCTAATGAACAGTGGAGACAGCGGCTATAATTTTAGATTTTAATCTGCTTGCCAGGCCCCTCCTTTGTGTGTGGGGTATACCTTTGAGAGCAACGGCTTTTGTTCATGGATTCTTTGCATGGCTACCTTCCTCTTCTGTGACATTGCTGGGACTGGTTTTGATGCTGTGAAAGAGTACAACTTCAAAGGGGAAGCTTAACAGTGGGCACAGATTTTCTGGTGCACTGCAGAGGTCCTTGTCCCAGCAGCGGGCCAGCTGCTCCAGTGATGTCTTTGTTGGCGACCCTTATTTCCTGGGTTTGGCATCTTTTGGACAGTCTTCCGAAAAGCCTTTACTGTAGCAAGGCTCCTTTCGTCTCCCTAGAGCAGGGCTGTCAGAAAGTAAGTCTGTATCTGCACATGTGCATTTTTGTGCGCTATTCGCCTGTGTGCTGTACCCTTCCTCTAAGCAAGTCACACTTGTTGGCTTTAAATTGCACGTGGCTTTTCTGCTGAAGGCGGCATTTGAGGCCGCTTACCAGCAACTGAAGCAGCATCCTGCAGTGTCTCTTGAAAAGGACAGGCTGCGGGTCATTGCAGCTGCTTGGCATGCAGAAAGTTCCAGGTTCTGTCCCAAGCACATTCCTGAAAGGGGGGAAACCTCAAGCTGAAAGCCCCGTAGAGCCGTTGCTGCTGGTCATTGTTGGCAGCACTGGCCTAGATGGGCCAAGGAATTGCCATGGGAGAAGCAGCTGTGATGCAGGGCATATTGTTTGCGGAGCTCCTCCTGTCTCTGTGAGCAGAGGAACTAGGAATCTCCCCCCCTTGCGTTCATCCATTGCTTCCGAGGAAAAGTGGTGATTTCTCCCGTACCTCTGGCCCAGGTCTCTCCAGGGCTGTGGCCATGACCGCTTCCACACAATATGGTCATGACCACAACCTTTAATGGCTTTCCAAGGGGAAATTCATGGAGGATAAAGCATGCAAGACACCTAAGGAGCTGCCTTGGATGGAGCCCATCTCGCTTCCTGTTGTTGACTTTGACCAGCAGCAGCTTTCCAGGTAGATCCCCCCGCCCCCACAGTCCTGTGTGGAGATGGAACATAAGAAACTGTCCTACTGCAGGTGGACCACTGGCCCACTTCACTCCCCATGGTTGTGCATCCTGGCTGCTTGCCAGGTCCTGGGCAGAGAGGCTGCTTCCTGTCATTTGCTGCCTGAGACTCACATCTGGAGGTGACGGGGGCTGAATGGGCCCTCGGCAGGATACACAGGAGCTTGAATTCATCCGCTACAATCACAAAGGTGGTGTGCCACTGCATACCAGCCTCTGGGTGCAAGGCAAGCGCTCACGGCCCCCACGCCCAGCTTCCTTCCAGAGGCGGCTGGTCGGCCATTGTGGGCCACCAGAGGGCAGACTTAGAGGGTCTTCAGTCAGTACTGGGGAGTGCCTAAGTTCTTCTTCAGCGAGAGACTATCACAGAACCCTAACCCGCTGCTTTCCCCCGGCCAGCCATGCCCCATGCCTTCTGCAGCTGCGAGATGCTCCTGCGCTTATACTGAATCGAGTTTACACTGGGGCGTCTCTCCTCTGGGTGCCTGTGTTGCTTTCCTTGCAGGTTCCCCTTTAAAACTCCCCTAGATGGAGCTGTTGGTTTCTTGCTAAAAGCTCCGTGACTTGTCTCCTCCCGCGCCCCAGTGCTGCAGGGCAAGTATTTTTCACCCCCACACCGCTGTTTTTCCCACCGCAGGAGACATCCTGAGCAAAGAGTTCTGATTACTTGTGTGGAGCATTTCATGCGACCCGTCGGCAAGCACAAACGCTGAAGAGATTCCCTCTGCCCTCCCATCTCCTGCCAAATACTCCAGGAAAGAGGAGCGTAATGTGAAATGCTTGTGTTAGCCAGTGTCCTTCTGGATCCCCGGGCTGAATCTTTTTCTAACCTAAGCACTTGTTATCCAGCGTGAGCCTTTGCAGCGCTCCACAGACGCTCGCCATTTCAAGGACAGGGGAGAGAGCGGGAGAGCTTGCTTGCCGGAGCAAACCAGATTCATCTATAGGCAATTAGCAACTGGGGGGGTGGGGTGTTTCAAAAGCAGCTGGTGCAGTGGGAGTCAGGTCGGAGTAGGCGTTTGGGAACGCGGGCTTTCAGCATGCCAAGCGTTTGTATTCTGCAGTGTGAGGAAAGCAAACACTGAGCGTGGAGCACAGCGAGCAGAACGCACCGTGCAAACAGCACACCCATTTAGACTGAACAGCCGCAGCTTATTATTTAGACTCAGGGTTCATTCAGCAGTAGCGGAGGGCAGCCAGCGCGTGACGGTGCCTCTCAGGCTGTGCTGGAGCCTCTCAGAAAATGCTGGGGAGCAGCAGAGGACGTCTCTTGGCGACGGAGGGGAAAGGTGGGGCTGCGAGAAAAGATGGGAAACTGTGATGGGCATGAGAGTGCAGGCACGCGAGGCCTCCTCCGCTGGATCAGGCCAAAGGCTGCAACTGGTGCA